AGAGAGAGAGAGAGAGAGAGAGAGAGAGAGAGAGAGAGAGAGAGAGAAAGGACTTGATCTGTATGTTTGTACGTTTAGGGTTACAGGAATGGTCATTGTGCTAAGTCAAAGGCTCTTATCCTCGAAAGGGTCCTGGATTCTCTCTCGTGACATTAATCCTCTAGCAAGGCTGAGCTTAAAGCATCCACACAGAAGTGAGTCCTCCCCCCAACCCCCTTCTCTTTCTCCTCCTCTCCTCCTCCAGGTTAACAGAAAGCCAAGCAATAAGATGTGGGTGGAACTGAGCAGCAGCCACTCAGGGCTGGTCCTTTGTGGTTTTCTGGAGGATTTGTCCAGAAGAGAGCACAAAGTCTCTTTGGTATTATCTAAAGCTGTGAGCAAAACTGGGTCCTAAGACCTCTGAAGAAGTCTGAGATCAAATCAGGTAACCTGAAAAGACCACCCATTGTTCCTGAGGCCCACCAGCTGAAGACATGACAGGCTCTCCCATTTGCTCTCTGCCAGCAGTCAGTTCATGTGCTGTTGGCGTGTCTGCTGTCTCACCATCCCGAAGCTCTGGCTGTCAGGACAGCCACCTCCACCCTGCCCACAGCGCTGTCCTGGTCAAGAGAGTAGACTCATGTTTCATGTATTTTCTGGGACAGAAAATACAGGCAGCAGGAATAATATATTTGGGACTGCCAGGGTTTTGTTGGGGGCAGTGAGGTGGGAAAGAATACCTGGGGCATGCCTAGACCTCAGGTCATGAAGGCTGCCACAGAGGTTTGAGCCTCTGGCATTAGGTGAAGGGCAGGCAAAGTCAGGCTCAGGAGATCTTAAGGGTAGTGCCACATGGCAGGGAGGTGCTGAAAGAGCCAGGTTATTGTCCCATTCTGCCCGGGACCTGTGATTTGACTCTGTGTAGACTTCCTCCTCTGTGGAATGAAGATGCTAATAATGACATCTTGTGGTTAAGATGGAGCTTCTGAGAGCAGAGGATCAAGCTCAACCTGGGTGGGTTCCACCTGTTAACAAAGTCAGCAAGGCTGACTCTCTGAGATTCCTCTTCCCTAGGTTTGTTTAGTGAAACTTGAAGAATTCCTGGAGAGAAATGGGAAACGTTCTTGGGGACATCAGGGCACAGGGCATTCCTGTGGCTCTCATGGGTACATCCCTGGACCGTCCCAGCCCAGCATTTACCTTAGCACAATTCTGGCCAGGCTGTCTCCTGAGCGGGGCTCCTCTGTTCCAGTTTCTCACCAGAACCTGGGAGTGGCAAGGAGGGGCAGTGGAGCTGGGGCTGGTCACCAGTGACAGCTAGAGGCATGAAGGAAAAGTCCGTATCTCCTGCACTGATTTCCCCAGATCAACTCCATCTGCCTTCGCTGGGGGTTAGACTAGTGTGCCTATTCACAGACGGTGAAGGCCGGGAGAGTGAGACAGGGATGGCCTCACTGACTCCTCACTTGCTCTTCCGTGGATGCCTCTGTTCTTCTGTAGACAATGGCTCATTGAAACTTCTGTAGCCTACTGGAAACTGAGGACAAGGGTCGAAGTGGCCCTGAGATGAAACAAGGTCCTTGGAAGTGCCGAGGGCTATCTATAGACAAGACCCAAGCCATATAAGCCCTCACTGGTAACAGCATTCTCCCACCCTTATCCCCTCCTCCCGCACACACCCAACCTCTACTGTACCACCACAACCACCCTTCCAGACAGTCCCCTAGTGCCACTAGCATTGTGCACTGGTGTAGACAGCTTGCAGCCTTGCCCCTCCCTACCCTAGGGAAGTATTTCCCAGCAAGGAGGGGGAGGTGCCAGCCTTCCGCGTGATTCTGGTCTGACTATAAAAGAGCCAGCTCTATTCCTGGGTCATGTAGCCACCTGGAGGCTGCCAAGACACTGACACCTGGCCTGGCATTGCTCTGCTGGTGAGGACCCAAAGCTGGGTGTGACAGATGGGTAGAGAGAGCCCTAGAAACCTAAAAAACATAAAGACCTGCTGGCTGTTTTAAGAGCTAAAGGGATGAGTCCTTTAAAGTGAACGAAATAGTCTCGTTTACAGAAGAAAGAACAAGTGTTGTGTAAGTGCACAGACCTCCACAGACAGACCTGCCCACTCCTCTCCTCAGAAGGAAATGACCTCCCCACTACTCCTCCACACAGAAGAGAGCAGCCTGGCGCTCGGGACCTCTTTACCTTTTTACCCTTGAAACTGGGAAGTGGAGCTGGGGCTTCTGAAAGACTTTGCCTGGCATCCCTTGGCAAGGCTCTGTGCAGTGGCAGTGGGTAGTGCCCAAGAGAAGTGGTTGGGCCAGTTGGACCAGCAGAGCCTGACCAAGCAGCCTACAGTCAAGTCCTCCAGAGGTATGAGAGGCCCTGGGTCACTTTTGCCAAGACCCTGCTTTCTCTCTCTCTGCTTCCTAGTCTCAACTCAGTTTGTGCTTTGCCCCTGGAATATCTTCCATCCAGCTCTTAATAGCTGACAAATCCCACTCCCACACTGCACCCCCACTCTCAATCCCACCTCCCATCCCCACCTCACCCCCATCCCGCATATGGCCCTTC